GAAAGTTACGGACGACAGCTCAAACACTTATCAGCGAACAATCGTATGTTACTGCGTGTGGAAAAGACAATCACATGGCCAGAGACTGTTTCAACGATACCAAACATGCAAAGCCTGCCACAGGAAGGGACACCTCACAGTAATGTGCAGATCAAAGAAATCGGAGGTTCAACATCTTCAAGTAGTGTCAACCCAGGAAACTGAGAAGGGAGAAGAATCTTCAGAAGACTTCATCTGACAAGAAGAAAACGACATCGGTAATAATCGGATAAGAGTCGGTAATGTAAACATCATAAACGATTGTAAGACCGCGGAACCGATGTACATAAATATTATTGTAAACGAAATTAATGTAAAGATGGAAATAGATACGGGAACATATGTAACAATAATGTCGGAAGAAACAAAAAAGAGATATTTTCCGAGTATACAAATTGAAACGCTGAATACGCCCCTGAAAGCATACGGTAAAGTTCCACTCGAACATGTCGGTATTACGACGGGATTAGAGGTGCAATTAGGTAGGCGAAAGGCAACATTAAAAATGATAATAATGAAGGGATCGGGACCAACATTAATTGGAAGACAATGGCTACAAGCATTAGCACTATGGCCATTACCTTTAAATGAATTAGTAAGCGATACGTTGAGCTGCCATAAAATAGATTTGAGTAACGTTATTAAAGAATTTCCAAGTAAGTTTCCAAAATTATTCGGGCCGGGAACGGGACTATATAATAAAGGTGTTTTAAAATTAGTACTACGAGAGAATTCACAACCAAAAGCGTTTAAGGCAAGACACTTGCCTTTTGCATTGACAAAAAAAGTCGAAAACGAAATAAATAGATTGGAGGCACTAGGTCATTTAAAAAAAGTAGACGTTAGCGATTGGGCGACTCCAATCGTACCGGTAATCAAATCGAACGGGACAGTAAGGATTTGTGGAAATTTCAAGCTCACGGTGAACCCTTGTTTAGTAATGGACCGGCATCCGTTACCATTAATAGATGAAATCTTCTTAGCATTGCAGAATGGCGAGAAATTTTCACAAATAGATTTACAGCACGCGTATATGCAGATTCCGGTAGACGAGAAAAGTCAAGATTACCTCACAATAATTACACATAAAGGATTGTACAAGTATACAAAAATGACAGAAGGCATCGCGTCAGGGCCGGGAGACTTCCAACGGAAAATAGAACAATGCTTAGCGGGTATCGAAGGCGTGATACCGTACCTCGACAATATATTTTGCACCGGTAGTAACGACAAAAAACATTGGCAAGCTCTCAATACGGTATTTACGCGATTGGAAGAAGCCGGGTTCAAAATAAACATAAACAAATGCGATTTTTTCAAAGATCGACTCGACGTTTTGGGATTCGTAATCGATAAGAATGGACTCCACAAAGCGGAAACAAAAGTCAAGGCAATGATTCACGCACCGACACCGAAAAACAAGAAACAATTAGACTCGTTCTTAGGATTAATAACATATTATGCAAGATTTCTACCAGATAGAGCCGAAAGGCTAAAACCGCTGTACGAATGCGCGAAACAAGGCGAATTTAAATGGAGTAAAGAATGCGCGTCGGCTTTCGAATGGGTAAAAACAGAATTAGCGTCCCCGAGAGTTTTAGCTCATTTTGATCCTGAGGAAGAGTTAGTCTTAGCATGCGATGCATCGGCATACGGAATAGCAGCGATACTATCACACCGGTATAAAGATAAAACGGAGAGACCGATAGCGTTCGCATCAAAAGTGATTCCGGAGTCAGAATTAAATAGAGCGATAATCGATAAGGAGGCTAGTGCGATAGTATTCGGTTTTAAAAAATTCTACAATTACATTTTCGGTAAACAGATAATTTTACGAACTGATCACAAACCGTTGACTCATATTTTCGGCCCAAAACAAGAAATTCCACTTACGGTGGCTAGTAGACTGCAGCGATGGGCATATTTTCTTTCGAGATTTTCATACACAATCGAGTACATTAAATCAGGAAAGAACAGCAACTGTGACGCATTATCAAGACTCCCTATCGATGACGCGACCCCAATTTTCAATAAAGAATTTACTGCGATAAATTACATAGAAGAAAGCGAAATTTTGAATGCGGGAGAGATTGCGAGAGAGAGTAAAAGCGATAAAACGTTAAGCAGAGTTATCCGATACGTAAGAAACGGGTGGCCAAAAGCGGATGAGTTGAGCGGGGAAGAGAGAAATTTGTATGCGAAACGAGAAGAGTTGTCGGTGGACAAAGGGTGTGTACTGTGGGGTTATAGAGTTGTGGTTCCAGAGAAGTTTAGGGGAAGCGTCCTTCGAGAACTCCACGCATCACACTTTGGAATAGTGAAAATAAAGATGATCGCGAGATCATATGTATGGTGGCCGAACATTGATAGCGAAATTGAGAACATGGTTGCGGCGTGTACAGTATGTGTGAGAGAGAGAAAAACACCTGCGAGTGTACCTTTGACACCTTGGCCCTACCCCGATAGGTTTTGGAGCAGAATTCACGCAGACTTTTTAGGTCCATTCCACGGACACATGTTCATGGTAATTGTAGACGCGTACTCAAAGTGGCCTGAAATAATTGACATGCACAGGTGCACGCAAGCTCCAAAAACTATCGAGGAGTTTAAGAAAATACTCGGTAGGCATGGTCTACCGAGACATCTTGTCACCGACAACGGGACTCAATATACGAGTAACGAGTTTCGAGACTTTGTAAATAGAAACGGCATTAAACACAGCTTCACTGCGCCGTACCACCCTGCAACGAACGGGGCAGCAGAAAATTTCGTAGAGACTTTTAAAGATAAAGTGGACAAGATAGTGAAGAGCGGTAAACCGTTAGATTATGCGGTAAACTTATTTTTATTTGATTACAGAACGTCGGAGCATTGTACGACGGGGAGAACGCCGGCGTATATGGTTTATAAGCGAGAATTGAGGACGCGTTTTGACTTACTAAAGCCAGACGTTAATAGTGACGTTTCCGATAAACAATTAGCTCAGGTCATTGCGAAAAACGGCAGTCGAAGTGTCGAGCTCCAAATAGGCGAAACGGTAATGGTTAACGATTACAGTACTCGTAACGATAAACGAATCGAAGGAAAGATCGTACAAAAGTTGTCTCCGGTAACGTATAGAGTCGAAATATCGCCAGGTAAAGTTTGGAAACGACACGTCGATCAAATTATTAAGTACCCGAAGGCGAACGTTAAAACTGCGAGCACTATTGGAGCAACCGAAAAGAAACTACCGGATATACTGCGGCGTTCAGAACGATTAAAGAAATAATGTCAAAATAGAGAGGGAGGAGTTGTGGTGTATTTACTGTACTCATATGTCATTGTCATTTTGTATTCACGTGATCTGCGGAATCTCCGAATCAACAACATCGCTACGGTGGGGACACGAGGGCAGAGGCAGTCCACGGCCGACGCTCGCACGGAACGTACCGACACACCGCGTGGCGCATATTGTAATCGGAGCTAGTTCTCGTCATCAAATAATAATCATATAATTGTTTAGTGAAAGTCACCCTGGTGTTTAATTAACAACCCGACCTCTGGGCAAGACATGACACTTATAAAAATATTACTTATAAGAATATTACTTATACTACTATACAGGGTGTCCCGTAACGCTTAATTAATATTTCAAGATGTGAAAGAGAATGAAATTTTGAACTAAAAGTTCCTCTTTCAATTTTGGCTTAGACCATTATTTACAGAGTTATTAACAAATAAAGTTAATCAATCAGATCGCGCTTAGCCGGAGTACGCAGGAGCGTAGCGTGCCGTACGTGCGGCTCTTCGCGCTCACTTCACAGGAGAATGT